CTTAATGACGTGACTTTATTAGAATCATTGGATAAATACCAAGTTTCAATGTTTGATGGAGCCTACAGTTAATCTAAAGGTCGTAGTGAATCAATAAATTATATATCAATAGCATTGCTTTTTTAGATATATAGGTGATCATACGTATCTTAGTAGATGAGTACTACACTTATATTTGTACATTTGTATGGAGAAAAAGAGAAAACAAAAACAAAAACCCTTTAAAAAAAAAACTTCAAATGATACCTTATAATTAGATTTTTTGGTCTGTTTGGAAAATGTTGCTTCTTTTGGCTTATAATGGCTTCAATCGAGATTGCCCCGGCTTCTTTTTGGCACATGAGAAACCGGCCTAACATCTTTTCAATCAAAATCATAATTAAAGACAAGTTCTACCAAGGCCAGGATCTGAAATCCAAAAATGATAAGGGTTTTTAACCCTGCCGTTTCGTAGGTTTTGATATGGTCATCTGTTCATTAAGTCCAGTAACTGTGGGCAAGAAGCCTTAATATGACACATTTTCCACAAGTTCTTATATAATAGTTTTACATGGTCAACCTAACATAGTTTTTCTTATATAATAGTTTTACATGGTCAACCTAACATAATTTTATAACAACACTCTTGCTGGCACCTTTGTCGAGTACACGCAACCTTGTATTAAGGTGAGACTTATTTTTTGATTGGAATGGGGACTTTGTCACTATGCAATTTGCCGACTTTCCAAACACACACACTTGATAGTATATAATAAGGAATTGCAATCATTAAATGAACATTTTGATTTTGTGACATTATTTTTAGTAAGTATTTCCTCTCAGCCTGCAAGACAACGTATGAATCCACACGCCTTAAGTTTATAATTATGTCCCTCTAATGACCAAAAAAAAAGGTTTATGTCCCTCTGGTTGTATAACTTTTGTTTGACGGACATGCATGAGTCGTAGGTGATTCCGTGTGTCCGAGGTTTAATTGCTTTGCGTTGCGACTCTTATGCTCCGTTTGGTATGAAGGATGAAAAATAAGAACGATACACTTTCTATCGTTCAAAGATGAAAAGTATGAATAATACGCTTTTCTTTTATTATGTTTGATTGGATGAATGAAAAATAAAAATGATTAATTTTTTTTTGTGCTTGCTAATATTAGGGTTGACAATCGAGCCGTGTCCTGTCAGATTCGTGTTAAATCATAAAATTATGAACATTTTATATTTTTTGTTCGCGTGTCAGGTCATTTTCAAATTTGTGTCAAGTTATAATAAAGTTCGTGTCATAAAATTCATGTCGAGTTCGAGTTGTGTCATCGTGTTGAATCGAAAATTATCACCCCCAGTCAAGATGAAAAAAATATTTTTTTTAATTATAATTTTAAATTTTTTATTATTTATTTATTTTTAAAAAAAATATATATATAAATACATATTTTATCATTATATTTTTATATAAAATTAATGTATAAATAATATATATAGACAAATAAGATACATATCAATACAAATAATTAACTTTTCATCCACTTTTCTTTCGATTTTGGAGGGATTGATTTTAGTGAGTTGAAAGGAAAGTTAATTCATTCACTTTTTCTTCCTTTCTACTTTCATTCCTTACCAAATATGATGTTTTATCTACTCTATCAACTTTTCATCCTTTCATTTTTCTATTGTATCAAACAAAGCGTTAGTCCAGAAGATACGTGATAACAAAATCAAAAAATAGGAGAGAAAAAATAAGAATCTTCTTTTGGGAATTCAATTAGGACAATTTCTTGCTACCAAAATAAAAATGTTATTCTTCTCTTGCACGATCATTCATCAAATGTCTTTGATGTTTAATCACCATGGTCCCCTGACTCCCCTTAGCTTAATGGACTTGTTGCATATTTCTTTATTAATAAGATCATTCATATTATTGTGTGTATGTATCTGTTTTCCCACACACTATTTGCACACCCAGTGAAAATAGACGGCCGACCTTTAAATTACATGTATCTCAGCATTGGATATGTAAAACTTTTGTTACATTATAAAGGAGATGTTTTGTTGCAAGTATTCAAGAGTAGGATTGGATTAATTTAATCTGATGGTATCTAAATACTTTGTTTGGATCATATAATAAACGTTGGTTTTATGACATGAGTTAAAATTGCCGGGATAATATAGTATCAAATATCATCACACAATCGGTACAAATAAATCCCGTGTGATAAGTGGCCTAAAATCTAAAGAAGTGAAAATACAATACAAGTGCTCGTTAAAAAAAAGGGAAAAAAAAAGCTCACAAAACACATCCAACGGTACATTATTCTTTGCTAAAATAGATTTCACTTAAACAAATTTACGATCTACAAATAAATAACCTAAGAATGACAAAAGGAAAGGCTCGTCGAAGAAAATAGTCCATTGGAAATAAATCAGAAATTCCTCTGCATTCAATCCTCAAATTCCAGCTTCAAGCCTTGTGTAGCTCATAATCATATTCTGAAAAATGAGGCGTGGAAAAACATCTCTCTGTTATTGTTTGTATGCGTGCTTTTCCGCTGCCGTTACATAGGTTTGACAGTGTCATCTCTTCACTAAGTCCAGTAACTACGTACAAGAAGGCTCATNAGTGTCATCTCTTCACTAAGTCCAGTAACTACGTACAATAAGGCTCAATATGCTTATCTGTACACTTTTTACATGGTCAACCAAACATAATTATATATTCTCTTGCTGGCTCATTAACCCCAGGCAATCGCATCATGTCGTTTGTATTTGGATCGTAAAATTAATTTGAAGTTTGAATCATTTAATGTTAATCTGATTTATTTAGTTAACCGTGCTAGATATCATCTTACTAACTCAATTGATTCATTATCGTGTAATACTCAAGTTGACACACATAACCAGTGAGCAATGAATCTAAAGACTGATCCCTTTCTCTCTCCCAAGCTCACTATCAATATCTCCTAAATTGAAAATGCACTCAATCACTCGGTGTCTCAGTGTACAAAGCTTCAAACATGGTTGAGGGGGATAAGATATACAAAACTTTATCTCTGCATGCAAAGAAACTATTTTGAGGGCTCAAATATTTGATGCTCAAGTCACAATAAAACAACCTTACCATNCAATATCTCCTAAATTGAAAATGCACTCAATCACTCGGTGTCTCAGTGTACAAAGCTTCAAACATGGTTGAGGGGGATAAGATATACAAAACTTTATCTCTGCATGCAAAGAGACTATTTTTAGGGCTCGAATATTTGATGCTCGAGTCACAATAAAACAACCTTACCATGAAAATCACAATTGCTACACTAGCAAAATCAAATAAAGAATTATGTAATTCTACAAGTACTTATGTAATGTCTTCTATAGAAATGGAAAATAACAAACATTTTTTCATACAATATTTGTTAAACAAATTTTTATATACCATATCTATTAAACGATCATGTCAAAATAAGTTTATCCGCGCATGACACTAACCNCAAAATCAAATAAAGAATTATGTAATTCTACAAGTACTTATGTAATGTCTTCTATAGAAATGGAAAATAACAAACATTTTTTCATACAATATTTGTTAAACAAATTTTTATATACCATATCCATTAAACGAAGTTGTCATGTCAAAATAAGTTTATCCGCGCATGACACTAACCACCCATTTGTCATTTGTGAAAGTAGGCCATGTCATGGTCAATTTCGTGTTAAAAATTAGTTAATTTTTACTCAATTTTTTTGTCGGATTTGGTGTCATGCCAATTTATCATGTCAAAATTACTATCTTTACAGGCACTCTCCCAATCAAGGATAAAAATATAATGCAATTGTAAGCTGTTATCTTTCACCGGTTATATCACTATTACAAGCATAAATCAGACATCATAATGTTAGAATCCCTTTTTGCTTAAAACATGGAATTTGTTACTAAGCATTTTGCCTACTCTTCAAAAACACCACTTCAATCAATCATGACTAGAAAACACCTTGATGGCATAGAACAAGGAATTTGAATCATGACTTCAAATATTTTGCTTTTGTGGTTCTTTCTTTGTGGTAGGCTTCTCCTCCATCAACTCTCATGAGTTAGTTCACTAATTGGGCAAGAGGCAAAATGTTAGCTTGCATATCATAAATTTGAGTCATATAAGAGCATAAAACCAAGCTTTAACCAACACATATAGTTTATGAGTGATTGCATACATCCAAACTTTAGTTGCATTGCAACTCTAAGTCCAAAAAACATATGATTGAGATAGTTTTCTGTTAGCCAAAAAAATGTGCCCCTTAAAAGTAATTTTTTTTTTGAAGTTTAGAAAGTGTACATGTAGCCTTGAAGATTAGTAGGACCATAGTAGCATCCCATGTTTCTGTGTGAATTATAATTGCAGAGTTGTAAAGTATCCAACTCAAANAAAGTGTACATGTAGCCTTGAAGATTAGTAGGACCATAGTAGCATCCCATGTTTCTGGGTTATGAAACATCATAATTTGTGAATTATAATTGCAGAGTTGTAAAGTATCCAACTCAAAATTAATTAGCAATAAACTGTACATGATCATTTATATATATATATATATATATAATAGTTTGGGAGGTGTTACTACTTCTGAGGACAAGCGTTAACAAGTTGTGCATATGTGGCCCTCGGTGATTCTAATCACAACAAAATCGGTAAAGAACAATTTATTTTATTATACCATTGTAGAACAATCACTAACAGAAGTTATGCATAAAGTCGAGGAACTTATAGTGAACCAGGTCAACCACACTCATGACACATATAAACAAACAAGAAGTTTGGCTATATGCGTTGACAAAATGCTATTTGAATCATCTTCCAAAGGTACCGGCCAGACGGCTTCTCTCTCTCTCTCTCTCTCTGACTCCCCACCTCCCTCTCCCTATAAAAGGGTACTAAACTCTGCATATTCACTAGTACAGAATTCAATTGCTTCTTAAAAATATTTGGAAGTCACTAATCATTAGCATTTGTTCCGAACTTTCAAATGGCCAGTAAGGTTACCTTTCTAGGACTGCTTGCTCTCTCTTGCTATGTTGCGTCAGCAGCCGATCAAAGTCCCCTTCAAGATTTCTGTGTCGCAAACCGAAATAGCACAGGTATCTTTAGGCTCACATGGCTGCAAATATTTTCATACAAATGTTATACTTTGTTATGTATCTGTACTCATTCACTCTTTCATGCATGCTTAATGGCAGTGTTAGTGAATGGTTTTGCTTGCAAAGACCCAAAGCTGGTCGAAGCCAGTGATTTCATGTTCACTGGGCTTCATTTGTTGGGCAACACATCCAATCCTGTTGGTTCAAGGGCGACACCAGTCACAGTAGCCCAAGTACCAGGACTTAATACACTTGGCATCTCCATGGTTCGCCTAGATTTCGCCCCATTTGGTGTTAACCCTCCTCACACACATCCGAGGGGTAGTGAAATCCTGACCGTCTTAAAAGGCCGACTCGAAGTTGGGTTTGTCACTTCCAACCCAGAAAATCGCCTTATCACTGCAATACTACGCAAGGGCGATGTGTTTGTATTCCCAGTGGGTCTTGTCCATTTCCAACGCAACATTAGAAATGGTAAAGCTATTGCCATTGGAGCTTTCAATAGCCAGAACGCAGGTGTTATCACTATTGCTAATGCAGTGTTTGGCTCAAAGCCAGATATTTCTAGTGTTGTTCTTCAGAAAGCTTTTCAAGTTGATCAGAATGTGATTAGTCAACTCCAGAAAAAGTTTTAGACATTCATCTACTATTTTACCAAAACGTGAATGTTGTAGCAAGCGTCAGTGAGTGATTCCTAAATATTGTTTGAGGTTGGCAGCTTAATTTCTTCCAGTATGTTAAGTTATGATATCATTGATGTTTAATCATCATGTCTGATCTTTATTAATAAAATCATTTATATTGTTTAATCATCATGTCTGATCTTTATTAATAAAATCATTTATATTACCTGTCTATTTGCTTTATATTAGCCTTTGAAAATTCTACTACGATGATGATCTTTTGCTAGCAAAATGTTGCAACATACATATATTATCCACTTTGATGACCCCAAATCAAATGGGTCAGACCCAAAAAATAAAGCAGGTCCAAATCAGTTAAAAGAAAAGTTGAACCCAGTTCGTGAATCTAACCCGACGCAAAGTCCAAAGAGTCTATAAAGAAAACAGCATGTGGAGGAAAGATCATTGAGATAAACACCCTCAAAGATCAAGGCTACCTTAATTGTACTTACCTTTTGTAGCTATTCTCCCGAGAAACTAGTATCTTTACTCTTATGTCACCGTCTCAAAAAAGGTTTAATGCCTATAAATTGTAAGTCCTTTCTACATGAGAAGACACATTGAATTCTACCTTTATACCTGTCTACACATACATAGTTTTTCTCCTAGTTATTATACCTCTCTTGGAGCACACCTCTCTCGAAGCTTTCTCTCTCTTTATTCATCAATAAAGACCCCCAACCACCGTTACCGTTTCTTAGAGTAGATTAGATCACTCGAATCGAACCACTGTATATATGTGTGTTGACTCAATATTTACATTACTACCATTAATTGATTTATTTATTGTCCATTAATTACACATTATAGCACACTCGACTATTAATCTTATACGAGACTATTTTGTGTATCATCACACTTCTTGCATGTGTAATACTTTCCCTTGCATGTGTAATCCTTTTTTGGTTAACCTATCCTCGTGATTATTTTTTATTTTTGGTTCTATAAAGGAGGACTAGTTTGTTTTGAATTCAGGACTTCCCACGTTGAAGTACCACATAATCTAAAAACTTAAACGATTAGAGAGAGGTGTAATATAAGTGTTTATCTAAGACTAATGCTACTGACTGAAAACTTTGACTTAATGTACTGACTTAATGATGTAACTTAATGATATGACTTCATTGAAATTATTGGATTAACATCAAGTTTCAATATTTGATGTGACCCACAATTAATCCAAATGTCATATTAAATCAAGTTAGCAAATTAGATCAGTAAATTAAGTCTTAATACAATTGTTATTTATTATCTATTCTCTTCTTTCACATGGTATTCGAGCCTAGATTTGTGAACCCTTCAAACCAAGGATAGTATGCTCTATATAGTTACCCTCCGAGACATCCTCCATATCAGAACTTTTGTGGCTCTTCTCCTTCCGACTGCTCTCCGCTAACATCTTCTGGTCATTCTTGAGCGAATTTTCGGTCGTCCTTCGTTGACATTTTGATTGCCTCTTGGCCATCGTCCACTGACGTTCTGTTCATTTCCTGGCCATCCCCTGGAGTTGGGGATGGTTTGGCTGCCGGATTTAATGGTGATTGTGAATGATGGCTCGGCTGCTGGAGTCATTTTTGAGATAATTTTTTTTTAAAAAAATTGAAAGATAAATTTATCGGTATTAAGGTTATTTTAATGTAAAAGTTAACTACAATTTACATACAAACAAATTGACCAAGAAAGTCGAATGCCATGGAGGCAATAGGAAATGAAATAATTTCAAAAACCCAAAACTTGCACGTACTTGTATCTTTTCAATATTTGGAGTAACATAATGTTTTTATGTGAGTTATCTTATTGCTTCTATATAATGAGTATGTTGATCACATCTGGAGGGATGTTTTTCTAGGTGATAGCTGGCCCAAAGGCTGAAGGGAAAATAACTCCTGCTTCCATTGTGCTGCTATTGGGCCACTTGGTTGTTATCCTTGTGGTATTAAGCATTTCTTAGATGCTAAAATACGACTAATTGTAAAGCTTATTTTAGTTCATTGCATCATTAATCAGGGGAAAAAGGCTAGATTTTGATATCAAATTTTGTTTTTCTGCATAGGATGTTGTAACAGATTTATTTATTTATTACAATATTGATGATGATGCATAAAATAGATTTATATACAATCAACAATTGAGTTTATAACGTTGATTAATTAATGAAGCAATAAATAGAGCAATTAATATAGAAGACAAAGATTTGGTCAACACACAGATGTATAGTGATTTGATCAAAGTGACCAACTCCACTTCAAAAGCAGTTATGGTGTCCAGAAATCTTTATTAATAATGTAGACGGTGGAGTAGAGAGTAAGTGTTACCTCTAGAAGAGGTTGGGTAGCTAAGAGTGAGATAGTTGTGCAGAGAAATGTCCATTTTATGTGGAGAGGACTTATAATTTATAGACACAGAGCTTTAATTGAAGCGGTAACATGATAAGTAGGTGTCTAATCCTTCAGGGAGGATAAATACAACTAGGACAGATACAATTAGAGATAGTCTTAATTTTGGAGAGTGGCTATCCCGATAATTGCTCCCCACGTACACTAATCTTCTTGAACCCCTTAACCTTGGGCTGGACTGAGGTCATGAGTTGGGTTTAACCTGTTTTCTAACTGATTTGGACTTACTTCATAGATTGAGCTAGACCTGGTCGAATCCAGGCTCATCAATTGATATTAATATTGTATTCACTACAAAAATGATTATGTTAAATGATTTGAAATTGATATATTAAACTAGTTTTGATTTTTCACTTGTGGAAATATAATTATTGCAATATTACCGTTGGATTATCGTGGAATTATTGTTTTGGTCTTATCTGCAAGAATGGATGCATGGTATTGATGTTGGAAAAATCGGTTAGCGATACCAGGGGATGTGGTTTTCTGTGTGGTACTATTCATCCTTGATATTCGTTTTTTTAATATCTAACTTTGCAAAATTTATGGATGGTGTGCCTATACATCTTTCAGAGTAGTGATGGGTACCAGAGGATAGTGGTTGCCTCTGTGGTACAGCAAATATCTGGTACTAGTTTTCCCAGAAAAACAACTAGGGCATAGTATTCCTAGGGTACAAGATTTCAAAGTTTCTCGGGGTCGGTACATTTCATGTGTGGAATAGGTTTATATCTGGTAGGTTATGTTCGGTACTTAAGGCATCTCAGTGTCCTCATATTTATGTTTTACTATTATTGCATTGCAACTATTTTATTTACGAAAATTTGACATGTATGTCATGATTTCAATTGCATAGGGTTTGCTTCTGTCATAGGCAGGGGCGAATTCAGCACGGGGACAGTTACCTCCACCAGAATTTTGAAAAGTTTTGGGTGTTATTTGAAATTTTAAAAAAATTTAAAAAAAAAATTAAAATTCTCCCTACTAACATTATTGAGATCTAATTGGGGAAGTTAAATCATTGTTATCATTTGATTAGTAGTGGATCTCAATATTTAACGAGATTGAATATGTACTAATCTAATAATAACAATGAATTATATTTTCAAATTATGTTTCTAAATTAAATACATATAGTATTATTGCTAGTTTATATTTTAGATAAGTGGAATTTTTTCATAAAAAAGAAAATTTAGACCAACACTTCCTCATATGACTTAAATTAAAAATGTTACACTAATTTTTTTTTTATAAATATCAATAAATCACTATTACAACATAAGTTATTGATACATAGAATAATTTTCAAAGTACGAGCTTAGGCGCGGAGGTCAGACAAGGAAGTCAGGCGTGACACACAGAGCTCAAAGAATTGGAGCCAGAGCGCCCCCCAAACGAGACAATAACGAAAATGATAAGGGAATAGCTAGAAGTTAGCTGGAACCCTATAAGCAGCCAAGAGCCATATCCAATGCGCAAAACCTATAACCAACCAAGATACTCTCTAAAAATCAAGGAGTAATCCACAGATGAAAGGCTAGGATCTCAGCAGAGATCCCATATATCAAAGAACAGCTCTATAAATACTATATAATGCCTCCAATAACAAAAGAGAGACCCTAGTGGCATGAGAGGCAGACTGTGAAATTCATTCTCCATTATTGAAGCAAAAGGAACAAGAGTCTCTGTTGAAAAGTGGATTAGCCGAGCTCCCAAGTCGATAAACTACTATATGTTCACTGTGCAATTTCCCCAAATCTCTAAAAAAAAAATTATCACCATCCCCACGAGCCAAGGAGCTCAAACACAATGTGCCAAGCATAGTTTCAATCTTCTGCTCATCCACATTAATTTGCACTATAATAAATAATTAGCTTTTTTATCATTTGACTAACACATCGATAATAAATGAGCAAACACCCTATGAGAAATCAATCATGATTTTTAGAAAGGGTTGACACATCCACTTACTAGTTGATAGAATAAAGAGTAACTAACAATACTCTACTTGGTCGGTTATTGTAGCAATGAGTTTTAGTAATTCTTACTCGATCATTTTTTTTAACTTTGCTTTTTTTGTCAGTGTTCTATTTTTTTAGTTGTTGTTTGTCTTCTCCTCTCTATTATTTAATTGAATTTGGATCTTGATATTTGAAATCGTAAAAATTTGGGATTTGAACTTAGAAATCATAATATTAGAAATTGAAATTAGAATGCAAGAATTATAAATAAAGATTCAAATTATTTTGAATAATTTTTTAATTTAATTGTAATATATATATTGGAATATGTCTATTATGAATTATATTTTTAATGAAATTATTCAAACAACTAGACTTTAACAATTTGTCTGTGATTAATTAAAGTATTCTTATATCTAAATTTTAATAAAGTTGTGGAAAATAGATTTGTTTCTAAATTATTTCTATTAAGTTTGTCTATTAAATGAATATTTATAGTCCTCATAAGTTGTTTGTAAAAAAATTGATGATAAATTATTGAGTTCGTGTTCAGAAAGAAAAAAACTATGGAGTTTGAGTGAAACCTGTAAAAATA